TCTTCATCAACATTTAACAATTCCTCAAAATATTCCCTCCATCTTCCCAATACCTCTAACTCTCCATTTAATAACTCTCCTCTCCTATTTTTAACTGACAAATCCATTTGTTCTCTAGGCTTTCTTAACTTGTTAATCTCACTCCAAAACTTTTTCTTATTTTCAACAAAATTTGTTGATAACATCTCACCCACTCTCTCATTTGCTCTCTTTTTACATTGCTTCACCACTCTCTAACCTCTCTCTTTTTCTCCATATACTCTTTCCTCCTTGCATCACTTCTACTTTGTAAAAACTTCTCATATGCTAACTTTTTCTCCCTTACTACTCTCTTCACATCATCATTCCACCAATCGCTCCTCTTCCCTCCTGCACCCACTTTCCTGTAACCACAAACTTCTGCTGAACACTCTAACACTACATTTTTAAACCTACCCCATACCTCTTCGACCCCATTGCCTATGCTCTCATTAGCCCATCTATCCTCCAATAGCTGTTTATATCTTACCCTATCTGCCTCCTCTTTTAGTTTATAAACCTTCACCTCTCTCTTCCCTGATGCTTCTATTCTCCTTGTATCCCATCTACCTTTTACTCTCAGTGTAGCTACAACTAGAAAGTGATCTGATATATCTGTGGCCCCTCTATAAACATGTACATCCTGAAGTCTACTCAACAGTCTTTTATCTACAAATACATAATCCAACAAACTACTGTCATTTCGCCCTACATCATATCTTGTATACTTATTTATCCTCTTTTTCTTAAAATATGTATTACCTATAACTAAACCCCTTTCTATACAAAGTTCAATCAAAGGGCTCCCATTATCATTTACACCTGGCACCCCAAACTTACCTACCACACCCTCTCTAAAAGTTTTCCTACTTTAGCATTCAGGTCCCCTACCACAATTACTCTCTCACTTGGTTCAAAGGCGCCTATACATTCACTTAACATCTCCCAAAATCTCTCTCTCTCCTCTGCATTCCTCTCTTCTCCCAGGTGCATACACGCTTATTATGACCCACTTCTCGCATCCAACCTTTACTTTAATCCACATAATTCTTGAATTTACACATTCATATTCTCTTTTCTCCTTCCATAACTGATCATTCAACATTACTGCTACCCCTTCCTTTGCTCTAACTCTCTCAGATACTCCAGATTTAATCCCATTTATTTCCCCCCACCGAAACTCCCCTACCCCCTTCAGCTTTGTTTCGCTTAGGGCCAGGACATCCAACTTCTTTTCATTCATAACATCAGCAATCATCTGTTTCTTATCATCCGCACTACATCCACGCACATTTAAGCATCCCAGTTTTATAGTTTTTCTTCTTCTCTTTTTTAGTAAATGTCTACAGGAGAAGGGGTTACTAGCCCATTGCTCCCGGCATTTTAGTCGTCTCATACGACACGCATGGCTTATGGAGGAAAGATTCTTTTCCACTTCCCCATGGACAATAGAAGAAATAAAGAGGAACAAGAGCTATTTAGAAAAAGGAGAAAAACCTAGATGTATGTATATATATATGCATGTGCGTGTCTGTGAAGTGTGACCAAAGTGTAAGTAGGAGTAGCAAGATATCCCTGTTATCTAGCGTGTTTATGAGACAGAAAAAGAAACCAGCAATTCTACCATCATGCAAAACAGTTACAGGTTTCTGTTTCACAGTCATCTGGCAGGACGGTAGTACTTCCCTGGGTGGTTGCTGTCTACCAACCTACTACCTACCAATACATAATCCAACAAACTACTGTCATTTCGCCCTACATCATATCGTGTATACTTATTTATCCTCTTTTTCTTAAAATATGTATTACCTATAACTAAACCCCTTTCTATACAAAGTTCAATCAAAGGGCTCCCATTATCATTTACACAAGTATAATTATCAGAGTATATATAAAATATGAAATAACTTTTAAAAACACTTGAAATTTTGGAGTTTCCAGACATAATGGAGAGACTTAGTGCTTGCGGATCTCACAGAGAATGTAAACAAACAGGGTGGGGCGCGGTGACCGTATTAGAAAGTCAGGTGGGGGAGCCGTATAGCGAGTTTTGGTCATAATCTGAAATGATCATATTAGCAGAAAGCCGTAAAGCGGGGCCCTACTGTAGTTGTTGTGTAGGGGTGGCACTGTAAGTATGAAGAGTCACCAGTGTAATTAGTGTCACCACAACAAATAACACTACCATTCACCACCCTCACTGCCTGTCAATACCCATCCCTTCCTCCCCACCCCACCAACCCACACGGAAATAAATCACTGTCTGAATTTTTTGAGTTATCCTAGGTTGATGGTCTCCTTCCTTTCTTCCCTCCTTCCTTCCTTCCCTCATCTCTTCCTTTCTTCCTCTCATCTCTTCCTTCTTTCCTCCCTTTCTTCTACCTTCCTTCCTTCCTTCTTCCTTCCTTCAGGTTGGTTCCCTGGGCATTGCTTTTGGTCACAAATTCCTCAAAACCATGAAATTCATCTTCACTGACACTTCCATCTGTGTTTGAACTGTCGCTTGGGAACTAAAGAGCCCCAATTAGCCGAGGAGTGAGGAGTTTCTTACCATTAGACATGGTGAACAAGGTGTAATAAAATGGCTTTCCCACAATGCACCACTTGGTCCCCGATATTTTTTCATACCGCGCACACTGACCATGGAGACCCATTCTCTCGCATCCAGGACTACCAGCCTTTTCCTGCTTGATTTGAGGACGCTATAATTTATGTGTACTAGTACGGCACCAACCTTGGCACATAAGCTGTACTAGCATGGCACCAACCCTGAAAGGGTTAAGGACAAAGTATCTTGAAATTAAACTCAAAGTAATGGAAATGTTTGATTTTTGCCAATATTCCAGAGTACAGTAGGGCCACACTTTAAGGCATTTCACCTGACGGTGTTCCGCTAATACAGCAATTTCAAATTATGACCAAAACTTGCTATACGCCTCCCAGTCTTTCTAATACGACTCGCTCCACCTGGTTTCTTTGCATTCTCTGTGAGCACATCTCTATTATGTCTGGAAATTTTCCAAAATTTCAAGTGTATTAAAGTTATTGCATATTTTATATATACTCTGATAATTATACTTATGTGTACCTGTACCTAAATACACTTACACACTGTGCTGGTGTGTAGGTACACATTAAAATCACAAAGTCTCTCTCTACTCTTGACACTATATTAATAATCTCTTGGGCGCATTAAATGTTGTATATTACATTAATATAGACATTTCCATTAATCCATCTATGATATTTTTTTTCAAAATTATATGATAAACATGCTACGTAACATATAAACATGATACACGCAGCCACAGTATAAAAACTGACAAATATGAGATGTTTACCAAGTGGTTTGTACTAGTGTTGGAAGAATTATGCTTTCTCAAGTCAAACACCAGTTACTTAACTGCAGAAAAATACTTCTTTCGTATGCTTTCGCTCTATCTATAGCTATTCACGACCCTTGTGGGTTTAGCGCTTCTTGTGATTATAATAATAATATCGTTCACTCTAAAAATGGCGTGTTGCATGAGTGTTGCTGTTTATTTACTCTTCTGTATTAACTCGTCAGAGGATCATTCCTTCAAAAATGATGTTACATGAGAATGGAAGTGTTGCTCTTTATTTATTCTACTGTACCACTGTGGAGACAACTTGTACACAATGTAAGGTGTTTGTATGAATGTGTATCAACCATAACCAGATGCGTTTGTTTACGTATGTACTCTGCGGCTCTATCCTCTTACTTTTTCTCTCTCTCTTGTTCATTCGTTTTTTATCTTCCTTACTTACCTCTCACCCTACATTAAGACTACAAATATTTAAAGGTAAGTAATGAGTGCACTGTACATGCATTTTATCACTCTAGGGTGCTTGAAGTGTCATAGTAGGTTGGGTGGCCAGGCAGGCTACCCTACCTCCCACATCTGACTTCTTACAATAAATGCTACTCACCTTTTGCCCTACATTAAGACAAATATTTTAAGTGTACTACTGTGTGTGTGTATTTTACTTGTTATCTAGCATTTATATGCATTTATAAGTGGAAAAAATGGATGTTCTGCTTTCCAGTGATGTCTGCTTTGCGGTGGCAGCCTGGAACCTAACCTGCCGTATAAGTGGGGCCCTACTGTACACAAATTATGTCACTTGTCCAATACACATTCAGCTGGCCAGTCTAATACTCATTTAGGAGTGCACTGATATTATTTATACAATTATTACAATAATGCAGTAGTCTGCATAACAGTTAATCTTTGATTTTTTTGTGTGAATAAAAATTCAAAATGGAAAGCAAGTGTAATAAAGAGAGGCCTAGAGACGTGGCTAAGGAACAGAGGAAATGTTTTTTTTAGTGCCAGGAATGTCTACACTGTTCATTCTGTACCCTGCTTTTAAATTGGCAATTTTTGAATTTTTGTGAAATTGGCCAAATTACTGATTTCTGACCACTTTATTAGGTAGTTGAAATAGGTAAATGGGCAGTTTTTTGTACTCTATTGATAGAACAGAAGGAATATTAGTGAAACAGCTATGAGTTTGGTCAACTGAAACAATGGAATTGGTTAAAAATAGGGAATAAAGTGCACGAAATTGCCAATGCTTAAGTATCTCCAAGGCCGCCAACTTTACAAGGGTGTAATTCCATAAGTTTTCCATCAAATTTCATACTTTTGGTTTCATTACCTTCGTAAAAAGATTCTCCATCATTTCATATTTTTTTTTTTTGTTTTTTTTTTTTCAAAAATTCTTTGACACTGAGAGCAAGTTTGAGAGCAGGGACCTTGACCCTGAAAGGGTTACTTAAATACTGTACTACCAATTTCGACCTACACAGTACTGCCATGTTTTCAACTTCCCAAGACATTCATTCAAATCAAATGTACTACATAAGCAAGACTACATATATTAAAGATATATGAGTATGTATACTCTTCTCCACATCCTTATACCTAAATGGTTAAAAGAGTAATGTAAAAACTGACCTGGTTTGTGGGGCACAACGTTGACCAATTGAAAGAAAAGGAAGATAAAGATTGATACAAGGATTAATGCCACAAAGGCAGGCTGTGAACACACAGCTCTGCGGCTAACATAGGAGCGATGGACTGTCCTTCCAAGCCACAGGTTGACCATCTGTAGTGACAAAAAACAGATTGACAAATGTTTTATACAAAGATAACCAAAAATTAGGCAAAAATAGTCTCCAGAGTTTAAACAGGAACAAAGGGAAGGGGTATGAGAGTGGCAGGCAGAGAGGCAGGAAACAAGGGAAAAAGGAGGGAGAGGGAAGAATGAGGGAAGGAGAAGAGGGAGGGAGAGGAATATATGTGGGAAGGGAGTGGTGTGTATAATTGTGTGAAGGAGGAAGAGGTATGGGGAAGTGGCACGTGAGATGGTGTGATGTGAGGGAGGGAGAGGTATGAGGGTGTGGCATGACATATGATGTGATGGTGTGTCAAAGGTGTGGTGTGATGTGATGGAGGGTGTGTCAAGAGTGTGGCATGTGAGGGAGTGTGGCGTGATGTGAGGGTGTGGTGTGATATGATGGAGGATGTGTTATGTGAGGGTGTGGTGTGATATGATGGAGGATGTGTTATGTGAGGGTGTGGTGTAATGTGATGGAGGTTGTATTATGTGAGTGTGGTGTGATGTGAGAGTGTAGTGTGTCAAGGGTGTGGTGTGATGTGAGGGTGTTTGGTGGTGTGATATGAGGGAGGGTGTAATGTGAGGGTGAGGTGTAATGTGAGGGTGTGGTGTAATGTGAGGATGTGGTGTAATGTGAGGGTGTGGAGTAATGTGAGGGTGTGGAGTAATGTGAGTGGATGAGTAATGTGAGAGGAGGGGGGTGTAATGTGAGGGTGTGGTGTAATGTGAGGGTGTGGTGTAATGTGAGGGTGTAGTGTAATGTGAGGGGGGTAATGTGAATGAGGGTGTAATGTGAGGGTGGGTTTAATGTGAGGGTGTAGTGTAATGTGTGTGGTGTAATGTGAGGGTGTGGTGTAATGTGAGGGAGTGGTGTAATGTGAGGGAGTGGTGTAATGTGAGGGTGTGGTGTAATGTGAGGGTGTGGTGTAATGTGAGGGTGTGGTGTAATGTGAGGGTGTGGTGTAATGTGAGGGTGTGGTGTAATGTGAGGGTGTGGTGTAATGTGAGGGTGGTGTAGTGTAAGTGGTGAGGGGTTGTGTGGTGTAATGTGAGGGTGTGATGTAATTGAGGGAGTGGTGTAATGTGAGGGAGTGGTGTATGATGGTGTGGTATAATGTGAGAGTGTGGTGTAATGTGAGGGTGTGGTGTAATGTGAGGGTGTGTGTAATGTGAGAGTGGTGTAATGTGATGTGGTGTAATATGAGGGTGTGGTGTAATGTGAGGGAGTGGTGTAATGTGAACGAGGGTGTAATGTGAATGAGGGTGTAATGTGAGGGAGGGTGTAATGTGAGGGAGGGTGTAATGTGAGGGAGGGTGTAATGTGAGGGAGGGTGTAATGTGAGGGAGGGTGTAATGTGAGGGAGGAATGTGAGGGTGAGTGTTACTTTCTATCAAGCATTCCAGTCAGGTCAAATCATGTTTATCATGAACTTTCTTGAAATAATGATTATTTCATATTATTATTATTACAATATCATGTAAATTTAAATAGTATTGTTGTGTGTTACATACACAATATAAACATGTTCAATGTATTTTTATTTTTCTATTATTAGTGTCAGTTGTGGCTGAAATCTGCCAGAAATGCTATGAATACAAATGGGTATTTCCTTGAAGGAAATATATTCTTTTAACCTGCTATTGTAATTAACCCCTTGACTGTCGCAACCTCAAATCCTGAGGTGTCTCCTGGTGTCGCAAAATTTCCGAGAAAAAAAAAAACATGAAATGATAGAGAATCTTTTCCTGATTGTAATGACACTAAAAGAATGAAATTTTATGGAAAACTGACGGAATTACGCTCTTGTGAAGTTAGCGACCTCGGCGATATTTACGAATTGGCGATTTTGCCCACTCTAAGCCCTATTTTCGGCTAATTCCATTGGTCCAGTTGACCAAACTCATAGCTATTTCTTTAGAACTCCATTTGTTCTATCGATTGAGTACAAGAAACTGCCCATTTACCGATTTCAACTACCCAATAAAGTGGTCAGAAATTTGCAATCTGGCCAATTTCACAAAAATTAAAAAATAATACAATTTCAAAATAAGGTCCAGAATGAACAATACAGACATTCCTGGCTCTAAAATAACATTTTCTTTGTTCATCAGTCACGTCTCCAGGCCCCTCTGATATTAATCTTGCTTTCTAATTTGAATTTTTAGTCAAACAAAAAATAGAAGATTTACTGTTATGCAGACTACTGCAATATTGTAATAATTGTATAAATAATATCAACCCATTCATGACTGCATATTAGAATGGCTACTTGGACATTTATTGGAAAATGACATCATTTGTTTACTTTTGAACATCGGCAAAAATAAAAAATTTCCCCTGCTTTGAGCTACATTTCAAGGTTCTTTCATAGTAAAACCAATCAAAATCACCTCTATTTCTATAATATGTTTTCCATTCTATCAAATGAGACCAAGAAAACGAGAATACACCCATAAATACTATACGAAAATAGACCACAAAGTCGGCATCTTAATTAAAAAAAGTCAGTTTTTTTTTTCTCATTATGCACTGCATGCTGCAGGATTTCTTTTTTATATGGTGCACACTGACCAAAGACCCATTCTCTCACATGTGGGCCTACCAGCTTTCTCCTGCTTGATTTGAAGCCGCTAGAATTTATGAGTACTATATACGTATACGTCAAACACGGTGGCTCGTTAGACGTATATATACGACTGAAACAGTCAAAGGGTTAATGTATTTTCTTGGAAAAAAAAGTCTATTATCATCATGAAAGCATCTCTCTGAAAGTAATGTAATAAAAGCATTAGAAATTTTATGAATGAAAGGAAATATTTTTTGTTTATACATTTCTGCTTGAATTTTACAGGTCAAATGATTTAAGTGAGAGCAAGTGGAATACTTACAGGCTGGTCCTGGTGATCACCATCCATGTTATCAGAGTGTACATTACTAAGGGGCAGATAGGGACACTCAGACATCTCAAGGAATCATGCCATGTGCTGGTGCAGATAAACAAGCTACATGAGAACACAACATGAAAATCATAAAATACCAGATCTCATAAATGGACTGGCAAAATAAATAAAATATGTAGGATACAAAGCAAAGCCAATGAGTAACTATTGTAACATTAAAACAGAGCGCTGCAGAATCTTAGGTAAGAATGATGTTTCATTCTGCTCTGGACCATTGGTACAATGTTCAAAGGCAGACTGAAACACTGTTTCAACTTACCTTTCTAAAGTTTGGTTTATTTGTAACTACAGGTTCTCCACGACTTAGGATGGGGTTATATTAAATGAACCATTGTAAGTCAAAAATATTGTAAGTCTGATATGAGTATATGCTAAATAAATAAGTACTGTCATTGAATGAGTAAACAAATAATATACTGTAACTAATTGCTTTTGCACCATCATCAAGTCAGATCATAATTCGAGAAGTGCCTGCACAGTACTTTTAATAAAATTCACTTCATAACAACACAGCCTGAAAGCACAAATTAAGTCTTGCTGTGGGTCCTGTGAAATAATGAACTGTAAGATCTTTTGATACATACACTACAGTGGTCCCTTGATGTATGTACTATATTAGTCCATTCCGTAAGATGTATCATATCTCAAAACTGTTGTAATTTGAGCCCGAAAATACAGCACTATGTGGTTTTATGGTAATTCTTTCTAAGACCCAAGAAATGCAACACTGAAGAGTTAGTGATGTGGTGTTGGGAAGGGGAGGTAGGTCAGAGCTGGCAGGACAGGGCAGGGCAGGGCAGGGCAGAGGCAGGGCAGGGCAGGGCAGAGCGGCAGTGGCAGGGCAGGGCAGGCAGGGAGGAGGCAGGGCAGGCGGCAGGGCAGGGCAGGGCAGGGCAGGGCAGAGCAGGGCAGGGCAGGGCAGGGCAGGGCAGGGCAGGGCAGGGCAGGGCAGGGCAGGACAGGGCATAACAAGACAACAGAGATTGGTAAAAAGTTGTATACTTAACAATTAACATCTACACTTTCAGAGTCTCCTGCTGCCTGTGTCGGATACACAGTCTTCCTCCTCCTCCTTCCTGCCTGTCTCCCCACCCCACCCCCATCCCTCTCACTCACCCTGTCTTGTCTCTGGGCTGAGGCCCACTCACATACATACATATCAAATTTTTCAATGTAACTCAAAACTGAATTATTTTACATGGGGTAAATCATAACTCAAAATTATCATAACTAAAGACTTTTGTAACTCAAGGGATCTCTGAACTGTATACAGATTGCTATTTTAATTATAATTTTACATTAACTTCAAAAGTTAGACTCTTGAAGAAGCATTTACTTAAGAATCCCACATGGTAATTTACTAACACTTGGAAGCAATACATGCAAAGGTTCATAACTGTCTCAGCAAGAATATACAAATGTGAAAATAAAAGTTGTAGGAAAAAATAGCAGAAAATGAAGGTAATGGAGAAACAGCTTAGATATATGTTTAGGAGTCAAATGTGTAGCATGCTTGGCAGTCAAATGTGTAGCATGCTTGGTAGTCAAATGTGTAGCATGCTTGGCAGTCAAATGTGTAGCATGCTTGGCAGTCAAATGTGTAGCATGCTTGGCAGTCAAATGTGTAGCATGCTTGTTATTTTCAGCATGCTAGTCAAAGATAATACTTTCCAGGACAGAAATTTCAGTTTGTATCACAAGTCTGTGAGTTTTTAACTGGACTGAGAATCTCGTGCTATGCTAAGATTAATGTTATACAGTACAGTATTTTACTTAACCCCCTGAACTGTGCATTCCTGCAAATAAAAATTGTGTGTGGGGAAGATTATGAAAAAAAAAAAAAACTTTCTTATAGAATAAAAGTGTATCTTTCTGAATGGAATAAGACTAAAATGAGTGGAATCTGATAAAAACTTACAATTTTATGTAACCCCTGTTGAGCTTTCTATTTCATGTCATGCCTCCTAGGCCTGGTGCTGCCATCCAGTGGGCTTAGTTCAAATCTAGATCTGAGTCCAAAAGATGCTTCAGCTTCCTCCAGACACCCTACCAACAACATGCCCTTCCCCAACTCTCTCACTAGACTCTCAGCCTTGGTATGGTCTAGCAATCAACCCACTGCCTGTACCATTATAGCCAATGAATTCTAGGATTAGCCTCGGAAGACTATTTTTATATCAGGTACATTTGTTCATTTTTTGGGTATTTTTGGTTAGAGTGGTGGTTGCAGTAGTTATCTTATGCACAGAGAGGAAGGAAGATGGAAGTCACATGGTACTTTATTGTCGCAATCAAGCAGCATCCATCTACCAACAATCTATCCTGTTGGTGTGTCTCCTAGCCACATCACCAAGACACAGGTATATTCAGGATTTATGCCCAAACACACTTAATTGGTACAGGAAATCTTCACAGTATTAAGTGGGTCCCTCGTTGCCTCCAAATGCTGTTTGTTCTTAACCATGTGTTCAGTGCCACCTGCATTGTGCTGACTGCTGCTACACCTCATCACTGGAATTTACAGCATAATAGAAATGAATTTTGTGAGTTTCCCCAACAGTGTGAGCCCTGAACACTTGCATGTGTAGAAGTAGCAAATTATCACCCTGAATAACACCTGTGGAGCCCGGTACTCACACCACCACAACCACTACCACTCTGCTTCACTGTCAGTTCCTTGTGAATTTCTGGACAAAGCTCTGTATACTAGGGCCCCCATTAGTATAGCTCTTAGGTTCCTGACCCCATGCAATACACAAAAATCACTGGCAGGTGGAAAAGAGGTTTTTTCATTATCAAATGCATCTAAAATGCCTGAAAATGTGTTTACACTATCATATCAATACAATTAAGCATAAAAAAACAAAGTAAAATCATTTTGCTTAATAATGACACCAAAGTGCAAAAGTAGTGATGCTGACAGTTCTTCAGAGCCTAAAAGAAATCATGAAGTGCTTCACATCAGAGAAAAAATTCTAATTCTTGACTTATTGTGAGTAATTTATCAATTAAACTATTACATATGCATGTAAACGAAAAATGGGGTTTGCTACTATCCAGGGTTTTGGGTATCCATGGTAGGTATTGGAATGTATCCCCCATTGGATATGGGGGGTAGTACTGTACACAGTACATACAATACTTACCTTAACCCTTTGACTGTTTTCGTCGTATATATACGTCTTATGAGCCAGTGTTTTTGACGTATTAATATGCAAAAATTCTAGCAGCCTACCAGCGGGAGAAAGCTAGTAGGCCCACACATGAGAGAATGGGTCTGCATGACGAGTGTGACCAGTATGAAAAAAATCGGCGACCCGGTAGGGCACTGTGGGAAGGCCATTTCAGTACGCCTTGTTTCATCATGCCTCGCAGTAAGAAGCTCCTTACACTGCAGCGAACTGGGAGCCTTCTGTTTCCAAGTGATAGTTCTAACATTGATGGAAGTGCCAGTGAAAGTGAATTTCAAGGTTTTGAGGAAGGTGTGACTGAAAGCAGTGCCCAGGATAACATAATTAGTGATAAAAACCCAGATGACCCACAACCTTCCACCTCTTGTGCTGGGCCGTCTTATTCACGTTCATCTGTACCAGGGCGAAAGAGCAAACTATTCCTCTTTCACCTCAGACGTGCACAGTGAAAATGATAGTGATAGTGATTTCCAAGCTAATGAATGCAATTTCAGTAGCGACAGTGAGGGAGAATATTCTCCAGTGAAGTGGCAGCATGTACGACGCAGCATGCGTTCTGGTAGTGTGCCACATGCCATTCCAAGGGGAAGTAGTAAATCTCCAAGTACATCCTGTGACCCTACACCAGGAACTAATAGTGAAGGTGATGATGACATTGTTACAGTGGGGATGGATAATGTGCGTGGGGCAGCAGGTGGTGTTGGTGATGGCATGAGTCATGTGGCACCAGCAGCAGCCCATGCTGCTACCCACACCACAAACTCGGCACAGCCACAACAAAGGCCACCCTCGACCACCCCCACAACCTGCACAACCACAACGATCTGTCAATATCCAGTACCCACCAGCAGACTGCATCAGGGATTGGCAGCACAGTGCCAATTTTCTTCCTAATCCCCATCACTTCAATGAAACACAAAGTGGAATACAGCCATCGTGTACACTTGGGAACAATGCCAGTGAACTGGAATGCTTTCAGTTATTCTTCTATGAATCCCTGATGGACACTGTCAAATACACCATGGCAAACAACTGTTTCACCAATATCACGCCTACACAAGTGGAAGGCACAACCGTGGCAGAGATGTATCTGTTCTTTGCCACAATAATAGTTATGCCACATGTGTATAAGCACACTGTTACCACATACTAGTCGACAGAATGCCTGATTTCAACCCCAGGTTTCAGTGACATTATACCAGTGAATCAATTTCTACTACTGTTACATATGCCACACTTCTCAGACAAAACAAGGCCTGACAGAAATGACAGGTTATGTAAGATCAGAAATGTATTTATGTACCTGAAACAAAAGTGCTATATGTATTTTTATCCCTTCAAGAAGCTTGTTATTGATGAATCCTTGATTTTGTTCAAAGGTAGACTGTCATTCAAGCACTATATACCAAGCAAGAGGAAACGCTTTGGTATACAGTTATTTATACCATGTGATTGCAAAAGTGGTCTGGTTTTGAATATAATTGTGTACACTGGTGTACACTGATGTATCTTGCTTATATTAGATCATTGGTTGATTATGCTGCGCCACTACTTGCTCTTGTGTCTGACTGGAAACTTGGAGGGCTGGAAAAACTGCAGAACGAAGCAATGAGGATCATCCTAGGATGCCCTCGTACTGCCAAAATTTTAAATATGCAAAAAGAACTTGATATTCCAAGCATCAGAGATCGTGTTACTGAAAGAAATATCCTAATTGGGGTTAATATGCTCAGGCAAGCTCATTCAAACCCCTGCACAGAAGCCCTCCAAACTTTCCTCAGCACTGGTGAACACTCCTCCAGATGGATCGAAAAGACTGGAACCGACCTCCGCATGAATCAGATACATGATCTATGTCAAGTAAGGCAACAGCGGCACTTCTCCGCTCCATGGAATATTACCCCATTCCAAACTACCATTCCTCCATTTCCCCCAAACTACTTCTTAAATCACAACCAAAACTTCGCCTTGAAGCCAAACATGAGGCCTTAAGCTGTATTGATAACTTAGTCACACACTCTCGCAAATTATTTACATTGATGGTTCTGTTCACCAATCCACTGGTGCAGCTGGTAGTGCTGCTGTTGTCGTACAGAGTGATGGCTCTCTTAAAGAAATTGGAGCACGCATCAATAATTGGGCCTCAACCCTTCAGACAGAACTGTTTGCCATACTCCTTGCACTGAAATGCATCTATGTATCAAAGATTGACAGTTTAATTGTAACTGATTCTCTGTCATCCATAAATGCTCTCAACTCATTAAGCATAAATTGTGGCATGCTTGTGTCAGAAGCCAGACACAGGTATGGTAGGATTGTGGACAGTGGAGTCAGAGTGCACATGCTGTGGATTCCATCTCACATTGGTCTTCAGATGCATGATAGAACTGATAAATTGGCTAAGCTGTATGCTTTCAAAGAGGGAGTAGATTACAATCTTGGCTTGTCAGGTAGTAGTTTGAGAATAATAATACGAAAAGAACTTCAGCTGAATTTTATGGACTTAAGGCTCAGGGAGATTGACAACAGTGAGTCCATCTATCATCATTCTATCATGCAGGAGGAGCCACATGTCTATGGTGCATCCAACAAAATAAGCAGACTCTTGGATGTCACTACCGCCCGGCTCCGGCTGGGTTACAAGTATCTTTGGCAGGTTAAATCACCACCACCAGATGTAGACCAAACGAAATGTAAACTTTGCCAGATGGATTATTGTCACACCTTGCGTCATTATGTACTGGAGTGTGATAAAATTAATGAATTTAGAAACAACTCACTCAGAAGTGTTCAAGAAATGGCTAAGTATTTTATCCACAGTGGTATATTACAGACCATTCTGGAAAAATACCCTGACTTTGCTAGCTGTAAATAAAGCATTACCACATATGTGCATGTGTGTGTGTGTGTGTGTGTGTGTGTGTGTGTGTGTGTGTGTGTGTGTGTGTGTGTGTGTGTGTGTGTGTGTGTGTGTGTATGTGTGTGAGTGTGTGTGTGTGTGTGTGTGTGTGTGTGTGTGTGTGTGAGTATGAGTGTGTGTGTGTGTATGAGTGTGTGTGTGTGTATGAGTGTGTGTGTGTGTGTATGAGTGTGTGTGGTGTGTGTGTATGAGTTGTGTGTGTGTGTGTGTGTGTGTGTGTGTGTGTGTGTGTGTGTGTGTGTGTATGAATTTGTAGTGTGTGTGTGTGTGTGTGTGTGTGTGTGTGTGTGTGTGTGTGTGTGTTGTGTGTGTGTGTGTGTGGTGTGTGTGAGAGAGAGACTCAGCAATCAACATTTGCACCAATAACTCACTACAGTTGTGACCAGGTGTGGAAGTGTGAATTGCTCATTACTCTAAAATTTGTTCATGATTGCAGCCATGTATAAACGTAAGTAACCATTCTTACAGTATTCATTACTTTGTAACTTGTACAGAGTTCATTACCTTTGTAACTTGTGAGTTCATTACCTTGTACCTAGTTCAGCCATCAAAACTTTGGAGCCCGGTCCCTGGACCCATTGTGTACCTCTGTAATCTGTAAATACCTTTGTAACTTGTCATGATTGTGACTAGACCTACCTGGAGTTCATTACCTTTGTAAATTGTGAGTTCATTACCTTTGTAAATTGTGAATTCATTACCTCTGTAACTTGCTCAGCTATCAAAACTTTGAGGCCCAGTCCCTGGACCAATTATGTACCTCTGTAATCTTTTGACTACCGCCCACAGGATGGGTATGGGGTGCATAATAAACATATTAAACTAACACTGGCAAGATGTGGTATGGTGATATCACATCTTGTCGGTATCACCATAACATTTCCTCATTGAAAATTGAGTTGGGCAAATATTCTGTTAGTGTGACGGACTGTGAAGGGCCTGCCTAGTATGGGTCAACAGGCCTACTGCAGTGTTCCTCAGAGGCGTCGCTAGGGTTGGTGTCACCTGAGGCGGAATCTTTGGTGTCACCTGTGGTGGCATCTTTGGTGTCACCCCCATGAAATCCAAGGGCAGGGGGATGGGGGAGTAAACTCCAGTTGCATCAGTACTGCATGACCAATGACTAATGTTTAGCAATGAGAACGTTTAAGGGCCATAAACTGAACAGAATACTTCTCAACTTTATTAATGATAAAATAAATAATTGTAGTAATATTGAGGAAACAAACTCAAATACCACTTTGAGTACAGGCAACAGATCCCAGATTTATTCATCTTCAACAGTGCCCTCCCCCCAAAAAAAAAATAAAATTGAAAAACAAAGAAAAACATTGCAATATCAGGGAAACTCTAGTTCCAATTTGACCTTGAGTACAGGTAACATCTAAGTGAATCTAATC